GAAGTTTCAACCCCTGATTTCACCTGACCTTTCCCCTCTACGTTGAATAAAATATGTTATTTTTGAATGTCAGAACGCCTTGAGTGCCATTTAAGTTGTTTAGTGAAAGCGGGTTCCTGATCCTTCCCTCAGGTTCCTGGGCTGAGCCAACAGCCAAAATATCATACTGTGACAGGGTGGGACAGCCAGAGTTCTTCAGCAAAGAAGAAAACACATTACTAGGGCAGCTCAGTCAGAAAAGGGAAAGAAAAAAATGGAGGGAAAATCTTGCCTCTGAGGGAGGGAAGTGGACAGGGCTGTCATACCTACAAACAGAGCTCTGAGTGAGATGCGACAGGCCATCATTGGTAATCCTCTGTCATCCCATTCTTCAGCCCTGTGACAAAAACCATTGTCCCCAACGACAACAGACAATGTATGTGCGAATCACCACACTTCAACACCCTTTGGAAGAGCGACAAAAGCACTTTGTCCAAGTAGCCAAGAACTGAGCTGTATTAAGATCGTGTCAATAATACGTTTATTTATTCAGCACATTTTTTTATCCTGCCCTTCCTCCCCTGCACTCGGTGGCACACGTAATTTTTTGCTCCTTCATCTTATCCTCGCAATGCTACTGTGAGTTGGAGACAGATTCAAGCCCAGTAGCAAGGTGCTACCAGACGGGAATCGAGCTAACACGGCTACCCTCTGTGAGGTGGGTTAACTCTGAGGGAAAATGATGGGCCCGAGATCACCAAGAAGGCTTCACGGCAGAGTGGGGATTTGAACTTGGGCCTTCCGGATCCCAGTCCGACAAGTCTCAAACAACGACACTACAGTGTTTGCTTCTTAACCAGGCCCAAGGATGGCTAAGAAAGGCCTAACATTGATTTGAAGAGAGTTCACATGATTGAGTCTTCCTCCAAGAACAAAGATCTCCTTCACTTAGGAAACGAGTACGCTAGAGAGAAAGCTAGAACTCTTGTCCAGGATTTCTATGTTTCTTGCATTCTGCATACAGGGACTATCTCAGACAAGGCTATCTATTACAGTCCATAGATTCCCAAACTTATTTGGCCTACCGCCAAAAGGCTGCTTTAGATAGGTTCTGGACTCTTCTTTCTTTATGCTGCCACCACCCCCCTATTTGTATTCAACGCCCCCCAATTGCACCCAAGGCTCCGACTGCCCACCTTGCATCATTCCAGCACCCTCAGGGGGAGGTACTGCCTACTTTGGGAACCAGTGTCCACGCTTCTTCCAATAAGTGGAGGACAACTTATATTTATTTAAAATACTTTATTTTATGTATTTATTTTTCGGATTTATATCCCACCCTCCCTGCCAGAGCAGACTCAGGGTGGTTCACAAAGGTAAAATGCATAGTAACAATCAAACTTGTCGTAAGACAATTAAAAACACTTCATTAAAACAATATAATGCCGTTTTCCTACCTGTTCAGGGTCCCTTCTTGTACACAACAACCCTGTGAGGCAGGCTAAGAGACTGGCCCCTACCTCCCCGGCAAGTATCATGGCGGCGGGGGGATTTTAGGCAGGGTCCTTGAGTCCAACACTCTAACCACAGCCTCACACTGTGTCTCTAAGGCTGCACCCAGGGTGAGGCCAGGAGTTGCAGTACCCACGCTTTTTAATTAGTGCCATTTCCAGTCAAAGAGTTTTTGAAATGGGAAGATTTCCAGTTAGCAAAATCCCAAACCTCCCTAAATGATCCCTCCTGGTGGATTTTTGAAGAAGACAATTACCCTTGTACTCAGAAAACCCCAACTACAATTACTAGTCCCATAAGCACAACAAGGTCTTTAAGGAGCAGAAGTAGTTACAACAAGTTACTTATCACAGAAAGGTGTTTGTTGCATGTGGGCAAACGCTTCCCACATACAACAAAAGGTCTACTCTTATTCAAATTACAATTCTGATGCTATTAAGCATTCAGATACACGGAAGACTCTTGGCCTTAGTAAGTGGGTTCCAGAAGTTTCTTTGGTCATGACAAAACCAGTGACTTCCATTTATTTACTTAGAAGTCTGACCTAGCAAAGGTGGGGGCTACGGTCCCGTAAGGCAGAGTTCTAAACTAAAGCGGTCCAACCCCTAAGAGAGAACTCAGCTCAAAACTGTAACAGGCAGAATATCAATTTAATAAGTTATCATTACAAAAAAAACCCCTGCCAGTTTTGGCTCCTTTTGAGCTACCAGACTGCTTCAACACCATAACCCTCCCTGAGACATGAAACAACAAGGAGACAGTGTCTCTGAGCATATATAAAGCGACTTCATCTAACTACCAAAACCCACAAGAAGGGATGATAACTCTGACTCTCAGGAAGGTCTTTCAAACAAGAAAGTAGAAACCTAAACAGATACTTTTCGAAGCCGAGGCCTCAGGGAATTGCTGAGGGGAAGATCAGTAAGTCAGTGGGAAACAGCCAAAATGGAGACACGTGCACAAAGTTTAGAAATCCCAGTTATTTATTGGATACAGTTATTAGATAAAAAGAAAAGATAAGACTGAAGTGCCACCCGAGTGCCTTGGCATTCACCGGAAGACAAGAGCAGGCTTATGTTGCCACGGGGCACAGGAGTACCTAAACACATTTCCTTACATCTGAAAAAATAAAAGGGCTAGAGACCTACTTTAAATTAAGAGCTCACCATGCAAAGAAGAGGACGGAACATCTCAAGAGGAGATCACATGCCCACACATCCCCCCTCCCCACAGCAAGGGCCCGAGGGAGAATGTTAACTCCAAGGATACTTGACTTGTCAGCATTGTTTGACATGGTCAATTACGATCTGTTGATCTACCGTAGTGGTGGCGAACCTATGGCACGGGTGCCAGAGGTGGCACTCAGAGACCTCTCTGTGGGCACGCATGCCATCGCCCCAGCCAGGCCCAGACCATCATTAAAGCGTCGAATTCTCTGCCAAATAATTTTAAGTAAATGAAAGCATTTGGGATTGCTTTCCTTACTTTGTTTGGATCATCTTAAGTTAATGTATGAGTGGTTTTTTCTAAAGTAAAACCTCAGTATTCAGGTTAAATTGCCGTGTTGGCACTCTGCGATAAATAAGTGGGTTTTGGGTTGCAGTTTGGGCCCTCGGTCTCTAAAAGGTTTGCCATCACTGATCTACCGCCCTGCAGATGTGGTGATGCGAAGGACAGCCTTGATGAGGTTTCTCTCATTCCTCCAAGATCCGGGACAGAGGGTAGCGCTAGGGGAGAGGGTTTCACCATGATACCCTTTGGTGTGTGGTGTCCCCCAAGGTACATGCCCCTCTCCTGGTACATCCCCCAAGGAGCGTTACGCCCCAGTGGTAACAACCTACTGGTGATCCCCAGCCCAAAGAGTGTCTGGCTGTGGTCAACCAGAGCCAGGGCTTTTTCGGCCCTGGCTCCTACCTGGTGGAACACTCTTCCGGGAGAGATCAGGGCCCCACGGGACTTGCTACTGTTCCACAGGGCCTACAAAACAGAGTTCTGCCGGGTTTATGGCTGAGGGCAGCGACGGGCTCCTTTCCGGCGGGTTTCATCCCCATCCTTCTCCTCTCCCTTTCCTCTTTCCTTCTCATCAGACGGTTACATATTCCTTAGGATTTTATGCCATCTTCTAGCTGTATGGTAGATGTATTTTAAGGGCCATGGTGGCTCAGAGGTTAAGACTGGAAAAGCTGCGGACTGGAAGGTCTGTAGTTCGGCAGTTCGAGACCAGAGTGCCACATGACGGAGTGAGCTCCCGTCTCTGGCCATGTTTTATGAGTGCTGTTACCCGCTCTGAGCCCTGCTCTTCAGGAGAGGGAGGGCTATAAATTGAAGGAACGAGCGAATGAATAAAATGCTGGGGTCTGTAGGTCTTCTGTCTTTGAAATCAAACCCGGTAGCAGCTCGCCCTTAACACCCGACGACAGTCCGCCAATGGCTCTCCCTTGACCGAAGCAGCCGGCCCGCTCTGATATAAACTCTCTGGAGAGCTGTGGCCCAGATCACGTGCCCAGCACACCGACAACCGTGCTGCTGACAAATGGTGTAAACAGTGCTCCCTCCCTGCTATGCGCGCTCTCTCTCTTTTTCTGTGGCCAGAATGAAATCAGGTGGTGGCACTGAAGTCATCCACAGAGGGATCTGGCATGAATGCCCCCCACACACACACACAGGTGCCATTGCACTGATGTTACAGAGAGGAGGAAGAAGGAACCCTGCTGGGTTGCCCACTCTGGCGGGTTCCATCTTGCCAGGTCAGGCAAGATGGAGTGAAAAGATGCCCAGCTAGACCCGGGGAACCCCTGGAGAAACCAGGCAGCTGCCTGCCATGCCTCCTCTCTCCCAAAGGAAAGGGGGGGGGGAGCGAATCATGCCACAGTCTCACACAAAGAGGGTCATTCGCATCGCTCTCGGCAAGGAGCACCGTTTCCAGGTTTCTAGCGAAGTTCCCTAAGGCAGAAGCACCTAGGCGCACGTCGGAATCTTGGCCCTCCTGCTCCTGCCTCCCCCCCCCCTTCCAGGCAGGGAATCCTCAAGCTCCTCCAGGAAAACACCCTCCCTGCAAGCGCCGCCCGCCAGGCAGATGCCCCCTTCAGCCTCACCACCACACGGGGGGCACTGCAGGCACGCCAAGCACGCCTCTCCGGGGCAAAGGGGTTGTCTGCACGGACACGGTCCACGCGGCGCCAGAGCGTGCCAGGGGGGTTGGGGGGGGGTAGCGATTAAAGCAGGACAGGGATGCGCGCTGCCGAAAGAGGGTGCGCGGAGGGAGGGATCGGGACCTCTCACCAGTACCCGATGTAAAAAAAGAAAAAAGGCCCCCCGCGTGCTCCCAAAGGCTCCCCCTCTGCAGAGTGGGGTGGCGGCACCGCGGGGAGAGGGTTGAACTGGAGGGTCCGACGAGCCCCGGGGATGGGGAGCCGAGAGCCCGCCCGCCCGCGCGCCCTCCAGCCTCCCCAACAGGGCGCCCACGGGAAGCGGGCCGGAGGGTCCCGGAGCCCCGCGGGGCCGCTTACCTCCGTGCTCCTCCTCCTCCTCCTCCTCCCAGGACAGGCAGCTCCTCTGCGCCAAGCGCCACAGCCGGCTCGGGCCACGGAGCCCCGCCCGGCCCGCGACCGCCCCCCGGCCGGGCGGCAGCGGCGCGCTCGGGCTGCTGCCTTACATGGCGCGCTCCGCGCTTCCCTCTTCCGCCCCGGCGGCGGGGGGGGCGGGAGGCGAAGCAGGTGCAGAGGTGGCCCCACGGCCAGGGCAGCCCATTGCCCAGAAGGGGGACGTGCGCCGGTTCCAACTTGCAATGTTGTGGAGTCTTGTGAGGAAAAATTCTACTTTGTGAGTTCCTGGCATTAAAGTTGTGAGCGAGCAGTTTGGCCACTGCTTAAATTAGTTTGCTCTGGAGCCATCTCCTTCCTGAGCTGAGACAAAAAAGGGTGAGCCGGAGGCTAAAGAACTGTGAGCCAGCTCACAGTAACTCGGCTTAGAGGGAACCCTGGTTCCAAGTCGCTCACACAGTCATGGGGGGGGGGGCCTGGTGGCTCCCTGGCAGAGCGCCTGCAGTGGGCACGCAGAAGGTCCCCGGTTCGGTCCCCGGCATCTCCGGGGAAAAGGGCCAGGCAGGAGGTGATGATGGGAAAGACCCCAGCCCCGGAGAGCCCGGAGTGCCCCGGCTAGTTCTGACCAGGCACTACTGGCTTTGGTGGGCCATGCGTTGCAGTCGAAGGAAGAGGCAGCCCAATCTAAAGAGGACTTTTCCTCATCGCCCATGTCCAGCTTGTGGGGCCAGTCACGGGTGTGGGAATACGAGGAGGGCATCGCCTGGACAGGAGAGGCCTGCAGAGACCTGTCTGTCCATGGAAGGCCATGTGAGAAGAGGACAAAGGGAGGGGGCAGCTCCCCATTCAAGGAGACAGCACCTACTATGCACCCTTGAAGTGATATGGTGCCCCCACTATCCAGGCATGCTGAGTTGCTCTCTCCAACACTGGGCAGGTCCAGAGCCCGAGCAGAGAGCCAGGGGCTGAGAGCCGAGGGCCTGGCTGTTGGGTATTACAAGTTGAAAACACTCAGTATATCTGGGGTTAAATGTTTGTTTCTGTTGCTCACAGGAAGTCACATGTTTCTCATGTAACCAATGTTCTTTAGATGTAGGAAGCCCGGGAATTTTCTCCCTGATCCAGGGATTTGATTGGGACTAAAGTGTCCAGGTGTATTACCATTTTATGGCTTCTCTTCCCGGCTTTGTCTGTGTGTTCTGAGAAGAAGGAGAGCAGCCATTCTCTCTTCTAGTTTTTGTCTTTGTAGTGTAAGGATGTAGCCGTTTAGCTCTGTTTTTATTTTCATCCCAGTTACCCTTCCCCATGCTGGAATTTAGTAAAAACTTTATATTTTAATCACACATGGACTCTCAGTCTGAATTATTTTACTCAGGCTCTGCTGGGCTATATTATCTCTGCTAAATACCATTTTTCAATATCTCACTATCAAAACCCAACACTGGCCCTGGGGAAAGGGGATCCCTGGATGAATCTGAATGCTCCTCCTAACAGCGAGGCCAAGCTCTTGCGACTGCTGCTAAGCCGTGCTGCCGGAGGGATGTGGGGGGGGGAAGGGGTTTGGCTGGCACAGCTCCGTCTCTCAGGCGCGCCAACCGCCAGGTGCAGTCTGGAGATCTCCCAGAATTGCCAGTGAAAACGAGGGTTGCCAACCTCCAGGTGGTTACAAAAGCAGAGAGATCATGGGACAGGTCAAGCAAAGGATACACACCGTGGAGCAGTGTTCCCTCTAAGCTGCGTTAGTGTGAGCTCACAGTTTTTTAGCCTCTGGCTCACAGATTTTTTTTTCTTAGCTTAGGAAGAATGGCTTCAGAGCAAACTAATTTATGCAGTAGCCAAATTGCTTGCTCACAACTTTCATGCCAGTAGCTCACAAAGTAGAATTTTTGCTCACAAGATTCCACAGCTTAGAGGGAACATTGCCGTGGGGTATGACAAAAATTGCCATTGATGACAACAATTAAATTTATGTAATGCAATTAATATCTCACTTCTTTCTATGTACCAACGATTCAACCATCTTTTAGTGTCCCTTATAAACTGCTGATGCAGTCACGTTCATTCGTTCGTTCAACAGGTGAACTCCGTGGATTTCCACCATCAAATGTCCTTGCTATGAGCTGACCTTGTTGAAAACCGGAAGCGCCCGAGGTTGTCCCGTTCAGTCCTTCCACAAAGCTCACAGATATGGCTCCAACAGGCCGGCTATAATGCCTGTTTCACCAGCCACCAGTTTCTTCGTGGGAAATCCTGAAATACAAGCTTCAAAGATTCACCCAGTTAAGAGTGGGCAGTCAGTCCTAGGTTTCTAAAACAGCAATAATTGCCAAAGCCTCCAGGTGGTGGCTGGTGAACTGGGTTTACAACTGATCTCCAGGCGACAGGGACCAGTTCAGTTGGAGAAAATGACCACTTTGGCAGGTGGATTCTGTGGCATTAGACCCACTGAAGTACAGCAGCGGCTGCACATTTTGGCATTTGTGGAGCTGCTACAGCAAACTGCCCTTTCAAGAACAGGTCTGCCAGAACTATGGCTTGCCCAAGGTCATCCAGCAGCTGCAAGTGGAGGAGTGGGGGAATCAAACCCAGTTCTCCCAGATTAGAGTTCGTGCATTTAACCACCACACCAGAGTGGAGAAGGATCTGACCTCTCTGCTGAGGCCCTGTGCCAGAGCTGAGGCTGGAGGGCCTGGTATCGGCCTCGCGTGGAGCTGGGGAATTTGGGCGGGGTATGTGGGGTCCTGATTCTGATCAGGACTGTGGCACTCAGGGAAAAGGTCCTTAAGCTTTCCATCCTGTGCCCTTTTCCCCAACCTGAAACAGCCCGATGAACTGCTATATGCCCCAGTGGAGAAACGTGGGTCTATTGATTCTCTAGCAGGGCAAATAGTGGCTCCCCAAGGCCTTTTCTGATTGGGCATGCAGGGGGAGGAGGTCCAAGCTGCCTCTACCTGCGCACCATGATCCTGATCTGAATTGGGCCCACGCACACCTGGGAACTAAGTTCTGAGCACAGAACTCCCAGTAAGTGTCTGGTTGTTGGGTGATAGTGAGATATAGAGAGGGCGGTGGCGTTATAGTTACAGGGCTTTCTGGAGGATGCGTCAGTCTTAGATCCCTTCCAGTCCGGTTTCCGCCCGGGCCACGGGACTGAGACGGCTTTGGTCGCCCTGACTGACGATCTCCGAAGGCATCTGGATCGAGGTGGTGTGGCGGCACTGGTGTTGTTAGACCTGTCGGCTGCGTTCGACACGGTCGACCACCAGTTGCTGACCCACCGCCTCACCGACGTGGGGATTCAGGGGCTTGCCCTTCAATGGTTTGCCTCTTTCCTGCAAGGTCGGGGACAAAGGGTGGTTCTCGGGGACCGGTGCTCCCGTAGGTATCCCCTTGAGTGTGGGGTGCCACAGGGAGCAATGTTGTCCCCGATGCTATTTAATATCTATATGCGCCCCCTTGCCCGGAGTTATGGGCTTGGGTGTCATCAGTATGCAGATGACACCCAGCTCTATCTGATGCTGGGTGGCCGGTCGAACTCGAGTCCCGATGACCTTCATCGGGCATTAGAAGCTGTGGCTGGTTGGCTCCGGCTGAGCCGATTGAAACTAAA